GAAAGATAGGGGTCTAGTTTTAATCTTTGGCAAGTTGAAATCCAGATTTTCCAACACCATTTTTTAAAGAGGCTATCTTTCCTCCAGTGAATATGGTTGGCTCCTTTGTCAAAGATGAGTTAGGTGAGTATGTCTGGAGTTGTATCTGCATCTTCTAATCTATTTCACTGATCCTCAGGTCTGTTTCTTTGCCAGTGCCATGCTGTTTTTATCACAGTGGTTTTGTAGTATAGTTTCAAGTTGGGGATTGCAATACCCCCTGCCATTTTTCTGTTGCCTAGAATTGCTTTTGCTATTCTAAGTCTCTTCTGCTTCCAGATGAACTTTTGGATTGTTTTCTCTAGTTCTGTGAAATATGCTGTTGGGATTTCGATAGGAATTGCATTGAATCTGTATAGCAGCTTTGGAAGTATGGCCATTTTCACTATATTGATTCTTCTTACCCAGGAACAGAGGATGTCTTTCCATTTTCTTATATCCTCTTTGATCTCTTTTTTCAGAGTGCTGTACTTCTCAATGTAGAGGTCTTTTGCTTCCTTCATTAGATTGATTCCTAATTATTTTATTTTTTTGGATGCTATTGTGAAAGGGAGTATTTCTCTAATTTCTCTTTCAGTGAGTCTTTTATTTGTGTACAAGAATACTGTTGATTTTTGAGCGTTGACCTTGTATCCAGCTACTCTACTGAATCTGTCAATTAAGTCTAGAAGTCTTTTGGCAGAGTTTTTTGGGTCTTCTATGTAGAGTATCATATCATCAGCAAATAATGACAGTTTAACTTCTTCCTTTCCTATCTTTATTTCTTTCTCTTTTCTAATTGCTGTGGCTAATGTTTCCAGAACTATATTGAATAGGAGTGGTGATATTGGACATCCTTGTCTTGTTCCTGATTTTAGCGTGAAGGTTTTCAGTTTTTGACCATTTAGTATGATATTGGCTGTTCGTTTTCCATAGTCTTTATTAACTTGAGATAAAGACCATCTATTCCAATATTCTGGATAGTTTTTTTTTTATCATGAATGGGTGTTGAATTTTATCAGATGCTTTTTCTGCATCTATTGAGATGATCATATGGTTTTTGTCTTGATTCTGTTAATGTAGTGTATTACATTTATTGATTTCCATATGTTGAACCATCCTTGCATCCCTGGGATAAATCTGACTTGATCAGGGTGTATGATCTTCTTGATGACCCTCTGGATTCTGTTTCCCAGTATCTTATTGAGGATTTTTGCATCTGTTTTCATTAAGGAGGTTGGCCTGTAGTTCTCTATTTTAGTTGGGTCTTTCCCTGGTTTGGAATCAAAGTAACTTGCTTCCAGGAATGAATTTGGAAGTATTGCTTCCCTTTCAATTTCATTGAAAAGTTTAAAGAGTAGTGGCAGTAGTTCTTCTCTAAATGTTTTATAGAATTCAGCAGTGAAGCCATCTGGACCTGGGCTTTTCTTTGTTGGTAGATTTTTAATTATGTTTTCAATTTCACTGATTATAATTGGGGTGTTTAGAATTTTTATATCATCTTCATTCAACTTTGGTAATTCATATGTATCTAGAAATCTATTTCTTCTGTGTTTTCCATTTTATTAGAGTACAGGTTCTCGAAGTAGGTGTTGATGATCCTCTGGATTTCTGCTGGATCTGTTGTGACTTCACCTTTTTCATTCCTAATTGCATGTATTTGAGCCTTTTCTTTCCTTTTTTTGATAAGGTTGGCTAAGGGTTTATCGATTTTATTTATTCTTTTGAAATACCAACTCTTTGATTCGTTGATATTTTTGTATCATTCTCTTAGTCTCCATTGTGTTGATTTCTGCTCTGATCTTTATAATTTCCTCCCTTGTACGAGCTTTGGGTTTGTCTTGCTCTTCTTCTTGTAGGAGCTTAAGATTCAGCATTAGCTTGTTTATTTGAGCTAGCTCTGTTTTCCTACTGTGGGCATTCACTGCTGTGAAGTTCCCTTTAAGTACTGCTTTCATTATGTCCCATAGATTCCTGTATGTTGTATTGGCATTATTCTCTTCTTGATAATAATAGTTTGTTCTTTGTATCAAATTTTTCCAGCCTAGTTTGAATGTGGAGGAATATGTGTTGCAGTTAATCAGAAATAGTATTTCATAGTCTTTTATAATTTTGAGCACATTCATTTACATTCTCTCTCTCTCTTTTTTTGTGACAGGGACTTGCTATTTAGTTCAGGCTGGCCTTGAACTAACAATGTAGCCCAGGCTGGTCTCAAATTTGTGCCTATCTCCCGCCTCAGCCTCCCAAGTGCTGGGATTATAGCATGTACCACCATGTCCAGCTTCATTTACATTCTTGACTTGTTTTGGTTTCATGTTCATTTCTGTAGGAGAAATAAGAAGAATTTTTGTCTCTCAGACTAGTAAAGTCAGTATTATTCATTTCTGGCAATTAATAAACAGTCTTTGTATGAGCTCATATATCCAGACTGTATCCTGCTTGCCTAGATTATAGACTCTAGACACATGCGTGGCCTTTTCTTTGCCTTCATCCTGTTTTTCCCCTTGCCGCCACAGTTCCCTGCATGTGCTTTTGCTCTCTGGGGGTAAGATGGTCTAAGTTCCTGGGCACTGTCTAGTTAGCCAGTGGTTGGTACATGTTTCTTTTAAGAGATTGGTATATATTCATTTTTAGTTAATCAACAAACTTAATGACTATCACCTTCTGGGGACATAAAGTAAAATAAGACATGATCCTTCCCCTCAAGGAGCTCACAGTCTTGTAGAGAAATGCATACTTGTATTTGACAAATGCCAGATGCATTTAAAATCTGCTGAGGGTAGATTTAGTCTGATATAGTTGAGGGTGCCTGATGTTTGGCTAGTGTTTATAAGTGATATGGTACATATCTATAATTGAGTTCCTATGGTTTGATTCAGCTCTATAATGCAAAGAATGTTGAGTGGATGCTTAAATTTATTAGGGTCAATCACATAAGTATACAGGTATGTGTATTTAAAGTGTGTTTCTAAATTTTTTAAAAAAGTTTAAAAATTATTATAAAAGTGTTGTTTGCTTATTTAAAAATAGAGCCCTGGGCCAGGGATTTAGCTCAGTGGTGCTGCTGCCTGCCTCGTAAATACAAGGTCTCAAGTTCGATCCCCCGGTACCAAAAAAAAAAAAAAAAAAAGAGAGAGAAAGAAAGAAAGAAAGAAAGAAAGAAAAATAGAGCCCATAAAGTTATAAAGAAGAAACTGAAAATCACCTATTGTCCTTATATCTAGAAACAATATTAGAAGACAACTTCTAGATTTGTGTTTTTTCTATGTACAAATATATAATTTTGTTTATAGATACATGTGCATATTGCATACATATTTTTTTGGTAGCCTGACCTCACATGTACTATATAAAACGCACATAAGTAAGCACATTGACTATCTGGGTCTTTTTATGAACATGGTGGCCCAAGCTCTAGGAATTATTACAGCTAACTCATATTTCTTTCAGCCAGCTTTCTCCTCTCTTGAGAAATCATT